ATGGCTAACCCCAACCTCAGAGACATCCTGCACCTCCACAAAGGTCTCCTCCTCCCTACCCTGCTCACTGCCTGCCAGTTGACACTGCACTCTTGCCTTCCTTTTTAGCTTGCCTTTTCTTGCCTCAGAGCACCTGTTGGCTTTTCCCTTTATGTGGGTCTCCCCACCGTTTCCTCCCTTTTGGCCAGCTCTGACATGCCTGTTGGAGAGCCAGCCCAGAGCAGGAGACTGCCAACATCAGCCCACACTTGGACCTTGCTTCCTGGCAGCAGCCAGCCCCGGGTCCCACAATGCGTCCCTCCTCCATGGGCCAGCACAACACAAAGCTTTGAGTGAAAATTAATCCGTTTTCCCCGTGAGCCAGCTGATGGGAGAAGTCTGTCGACGTGACATCCTACAAGTGCATCAAAAACATGGCTCTCCTTTGCAAACATTAGGGGGTGGGAGAGGTGGGTGCTGGGTTTTGTGTGGGAAATAGAGGAGCCTGCAGCTCTGGCTGTCCCCCTTGCTAAGGCACCTGCGGGAAAAGACACCAGTGTCTTCGCTCATCCAAGCTAATCCCACCTTTTGACACCTTTGCTAATGAAACAGGAGAAACACTGGTTCCTCTGCAGGCACAGCTCAGCTGCTGCTTTTGTTTGGAACTTGTCTAGCCGACTGAATGCTATGTTTGCAGAGCAGTTTCCCCTAGGCATTCATATAATTTATTTTTTATGTTTACGGCTAATCTCTGCTTAAGTAAGCCTGTGACTTCCTACAACAGTTTCACCGTAACTAATCAGAAGTGAACACAGTAACAAGCACTAATGAGGCCCCACAGAACCGTGATGGGCTCAGGCAGCTGCAGCACCGCTCCTGCACTGGGCTCCCAGAGGAGAGGAGGCCGTCAGGAGCCTCCCCCTTTGGAAGTACAGGCAGGGTGAGACATCCCCTGTTTCACAGCAGCCCCGGTGGGGGAGAGGGTAAGGCAAGGGCAAATGGCTTAGGAGGCCAGTGTCAGCAATAAAAGCAGTCAGGAGGGAGGAACAGCGATGCCGGGGAGACATCTGTGCTCTAACAGCCTCTCTGAGTCTAATAGCAATGCTCACTGTTGATCAGAGACCAAGGAGGACCACAGAAGAAAGGCAGGGAGAGAACAGGTGGGTAGATGCCCAGTTGCTCCTGCTTTCCCTCCCTGCTTCCTAAGGGCGGCTGAGCTGGTTGCTGTGGGACGTGTGTGGTGACAGCAAACACCTCTGATGCGTAAGGCACAAGGACACAAAAGACAAGGTCGGTCTGCAGAGACAGAGAAGCGCATGTTGCTGCCCAAACTGATGTGACTCTGGACAGGTCAGGTGGAGAAGGGGGTGACCGAGTCACTGGTACGTTCTAAGAAGTAATGACTTCTCAAATCCATCTGTGTGCTCCTACACACACTTACCTTATCTGCACCATGCAGATCCCCATCCTGCAGGCTGCTAACCATATTAGAACTCAGCCAAATACTCTGCTCTGAGGGATATGCTCGTTTGCACTGGCCTGTAGGACACACTTAACAGATTATTTGGGGATCTCTGCTTCACAGGATTACGTATGCCACGTGTTAAGATGTTAACCTTACTCTGTTCTCTCCATTTATGCACCACAGCCTGTCTCCTCCCCACACATCCTCCTTTCTTATCACCCAAACGTGCAACATGACTTACGCTGCATGATTCTTCAATAGCCATGGAAAGCCATGCTATGTATCGCTAGCGGCAAATGGATAAGGACTCCTCAAGGGCATCAGTTCAAACATGCTGGGAGCCCCTGGGTTTGGGCTGCTCCCCACAGGAACACATGCATCCTGTTCCAAGATCTGAAGTCTCCCCCCTGCCCTGTGTAGGGATCTCCATCCACAGAAGAGGACATCTGTGTCAACAGTATCTCTGCCTGATTAGGGGTCTGAGACCCTTCCCCAGGCACCAATGGTGCAAGTACCGCAGTACGGGAAAAGCAGAGCCTGGTTTTCACAGACAGATGAACAGAAAGCTCGGTCATCCTTTTCAAGCGCTAACGACCCAGGACAGAATCTCAGGGACTTCACTATTTTAATGCAAACTTTCTTGTTTGAAATGGGGTGGGAGGGATGGGACGGGATGACAGGGATGAACCAACAAACAAAAACAAACATTAAAAAAAATGTGCCTTTAATCTCATCCCCATTTTCCTGAAACTAACAGGTTGGATTCTCAGGCTAAGTTGCAGATTTTGGATTCTGAAGGTGGAAAATTTCCAACCACACATTTGCTGTCCCAAGGGTCATCAGCATCTCCCCAGGTGGAGAAAGTATGAGTGGAGTAAATTCCACAGACTGCAAGAAGAGCAGTACTTGGCTGATATCGAATGCAAAAAAAAATTCCTTTCACCTTATTCCAAATCATGAACAATCACCGTATTCCAAAATCTCCATATTCTGAATTTCACCAAAATTCCTTCTAACCATGGGGTCGTAAAAAGTGCTGTGAAAAATGTCATGTCTTGAAGTTTAAAATGTATTAATTTCAGATTTGGTCCATCAACCCTCTCAATAAGCAATACAGAACATACTTGGTTCATATTTCAAGCCAGCGTCATAGATTCCAATACTTTGTCCTAAAGTCCTATCAAAAATAAGACATTGATTTAAGAATGTCTAGCAAAACCTTTGGTTTTCTTGCTCATCTGACCTGCCGAGCTCATCCAAAGCTTTACAGCAGTTGCGTCATGTAGGAACACAGGCTTGGGAAGTTTCCTGGCTCATATATAACCAGATCGATTAAACCACATGCCTAATTTGCTGGACACCAGACTACTTTGAAATAAAGCAAGTCACAAGCCTTTCAGCAGACTCCCACTTTGCCTACATGCAGCTGATCAGACTTTCTATATCAGCCATATTTTGGAGATAGCTGTGGACAGCTGCTGTTTTCCATTTGGTTTAAAATACCTTCCCAGTAGGCCAAACCCCTTACATATACTGCTGGAAAATGAAAGTATAAGTTTGTTTAAGATTAGAGTGGCATGTATAAAAATATCTGTTGCTGGAACTTCTAATATGATTCATGCAAAAAGACAACAGAAAAAAACTTCTGTATTGAACTCCACTCATTTCTAGAAGTAACTTCTACCAGCCAGTACTGTATTCCAAGTAGCGTGGCAGCTGGATGGCTCCATCCTTCATCACATTGTGGGTCTCTTCCAAAAGTGGCTTTCCCTCCGTTTCTAAACTCTTTCCTACCCTTAGCTCACACACGAGCATCATGAAGTGCTGTGGCATCTGGGGGAATCTGGAGCTCCGAGACTTCGAGGCTGCCTGGGAAAACTGTGACAGCCAGTTCAGCCCTGGCCTTGCACTCCCCAGCCCTATGCCTTCAGCATCACCGGCATTCTCCAGAGGCAGGGAGGGAGGCAGAAACCTGAGTTTTTGACAGAGGAGGTGCGAGTCTGACCACAAGGGGTTCACCCATGGTTGCACGTGCAGCCTAGTGAAGGAACCCACCCGCCCTCATGTCCTTGTGGAAAATGGGATGGGAAAAGGGAAAAACCAGCTGGAAATGAGATGAGGTATCCACAGGCACCCTGGAGCAGAGCCAATGAAGCCCCAGAGGACCACAGATCACTGGGCTCTCCCTCCTGGAGTTTAAATCTGCAGTCTCAGAAACCTTCCCAGCCACAATCCCCTCAGTTCTTGGTGCTCACTGCTGTTTCACAGCCTGTGTGACTGAAAGCTCGTGACCCCTTTCCATCATCGACCTGTCTCCCACCTCAGGTCACCAGGCTCCAACAGGAAAACCAAACCCGAGAAAACCAAGCCAAATAACTTGCCATTGCCTATGGGTGCTCGGGGACCTAAACCAGCGTTTGCCACAACGGAGGTCACCATTCCCTGTGGGATGCAGCTGTCTGCAGAGAAAACCTCAACAAGCAACAGGAGCGGGGGGGTGGGGGGGAATGACCAGATCGTCGTGACTCGGGAGAAAATCCCTCCCCAGCCCTACCGCCGCTGAAGAGGCTGCCCCCGACCCCACGGGGGAC